CCGAAGCCCAGCCCGGCTCCTCGGCTTTTCGGTGTGGGGGGGGGCCCTCCTCGGCCTTAGGCGCAGCGGGGAGGGGGCCGCGGCTGCGGAGGTTTCGAGGTGTCCGGGAAGTTACGCCATAGCTTGTTACCAAAACCTGCGTTGATTGAGAGTGTTTGCCCTCGTTCCTTTGTGGTGTCCTTTGCCCTTTGTGCAGCTGATTCATATAAATCCTTATGCTGTCTTTGCACAGTGCTGCTCATGTGTGTGTAATGCTACTGTAATAAAACTACTAATCTACTTCCTTGTTGTATCATCTCTCTCTTAACACCTTGGTGGATTATTTCCAGGAAGGGGATTTTACCTACTGGAAGGAAATGGACTACCCAGTGTCTTCCAGTGGCCTTGAGAACCCTGACTGCAGCATTTGGAACTAGCCTGCGCTTACAACTCTTCAGTTTACAATTCACGGGGTTACAAAGCCAACTCGCGTTGGCTTGACTGTTGATTGCACAGATAAAGCAACTTTAAATGCTGCTATGGGTCACACTCCATGTAAGCCATCCATGCATCCTGTCGGATTCTTTGATACGTATTCCCATTCTGGTTATATAAAATATCTGCCAGAATAATGGCTTCCTACTCTGTTATACTCAACTGGCAATTTTTTTTCTTTTAGTAGTGTCTATGCTTTTTTTGCTTACTTCTATTTTTGTGCATGAGCACTAGCCTTTTGTGCTGGTTCTGAAATCAAAGGTTATGATATTCCAGCCTATTTTTGCTGAATTGTATATCTGGCAACAAATGTCAGCGATTCCTATTGTGAAATGCCATTCTTGCAAAAACAGGGTAATGAGGTTCCTCTAGCACTGGCAAGGAGCTGGATTTTTCTTGCTCTTTTGTTACATTTTTTGCCGCTATTACAGTGTCAATATGGAAGAGCCTCCCGAGTGTTATCTTTGTTTTCTGCCTTTTACTTTTCCAGCGAAACACACGTAAGTGACTAACTTAATTGAAATGCAGCAAGCTGAGAAGCTAAATAGTAATTTTTAGGAAAATAATAAATCTTGCGTAAAAATAAAAGTCACAGGTGCTTTACAGTTAATGAGAAGGAAATTCAGTGACACTGAACATATACACTTTTGTTTCTTTTCAATTTAGACTGCTTAAAAGGATGAGTGGAGATTCTAATAGAGATCTGGATAAAAACTATGGCAAGCTCCATAAAAAAATTCAGTGTCAGCTCTCCTGACTCAACAGTATCTTCTCTCCTAGCAAGCTATGGCACTGACAGCAATAATCCGTGCTCAAACAATGTGATTTGCTACAAGGACAAGCTTTACAGCTCTGCATCTGAGGCTCTGGAGGCATATATTGAAGATTTTGATTTAAGCCTCATGTCTCCAGAAATAAGCACTGGAAAAATCTGCATAAGTCAAAGCACTCCCAAACATACTGAGTTTTCCAAGTACCATGCCAAAGGAAGATATGGTACGTCTTCTACAAATATATCTTTTAATAAGGTTTGGTGTTTGCTGTTTGTCTTCTTGTCGTCGTTGATGGTATTGCAATTCCTTGCCTCGTATCAGCTGAATTTTAGTGAAGGAATGTTTCCTGCACAACTGCTTGCAAGAATATATGTGGCATAGTAAATGATGTTTAGTCATGGCTAGCGATATTTGTCATTCTCTGATTCTTTTTTGTAAGTAGTGGATTGGTGAAAGTTACAAAAAGTTACAGGAAGTGGCAGCGTTCATGACCACACTCATATATGCCATGATAAATTCCAGAGTATGGAACAGAGAATGTGTTTTCTATATGTGAATGTATGCTAAAAACAATATAAATCATGAATTAAGCTTGAGTCTTGACAAAAATCCCAGTTCACTTGCCAGACCAAGTAACACCGGAATCTAAGTAATGGAAGGAGTTCCCATAAATCCTACTTCAGGAATTAGAACAAAATTTGCCCCTTATTTATTGTTTTATATTTATGTACTCTTGGATCCGAAGTCTAAACTAATTGGGCCTAAGAACAAACTTATATGGGTTTGAATTGCTTTTACAATTATTAATTGGCTTGGATTAATGGATCTTTAATTAACTATATAAGCTTATATAAGAAAATCAAGGGTAGATAACTGTGCCTGAGCTAATTTATGCTGCAAATGCTTTGTCCATTACATCCAAAATAGCAATGCCCTAAGCACAGGCAAACTTTATACCTGAAAAAGGACATTTACCAAAGTTGCGTTGACAGGGACAGTTTTGGTAGCATACTTGTATTATTCAGGGTTTTTTTTCTCTTCTCCCTAGCCTATAATCTTCTTCTAGCTTCACACCTTTCCCTTCTTCCTTTCATCGACATAGCTATCCAAAGAATGATTTTGTAACATCAGTTTGACGATAATCCAAACAAAAATAGATATTCTGGTTATTACTGAGAAACTGTTATGTAGAAGATGTCATCTCTTCACACGTGACACTGAAGCTTCTCTGTTACTGTTTTTTCCTGAAGTCTCATTAGCTTTATTCCTGTGTTAGCTAGCTGCATGTATATTTTGTATATTATAGAAGCCTGTTGTATACAAATTTATCTTTGTGATGAGAAAGTGAGAAAAAAATAACTTCCAGCTAATAGCTAAGGAAAACCTATTTTTATGAATCAAAGTGTATTCGGTAAAAATAAGGATTTGTTGCTGTACTTCTTCCCTTAAAAACATCCAAGTCTAATCTTATATAGCATGTAAGTTTCTGCAGGATCACAAAATGAGTCTATAGGCCCATTAGCTCACTAATTGCCTTGCAAGCTATTGCTTTTAGTTGTCTTTTTCTATAGTAAATTCACTGTGTTTACATATGTAGAAAGTTGTCTCTAACATTACTATGTGGAGGGAGTATCACTACTAAGACTGAAAAGTTAGGGACATATTTGCAAAATACACAGTTCCACATGTGCAACTAAAAATAGATTGTAGGATGCTAGGGTTTTTTTTTCTCCATAATGGTTTTCACCATAACCCAGCGGTACTGACACTATCAAAGTTCTTGTGAGGAGTTGTCATACGACTGTAGAACTCCATGTGTATGTGTTGTCCAACATAAATCATACTGATACATGATTACATTTGCTAGAAATTTGCTTCTTTGATATTCATCCTTAGAATGTTAGCTAAGTTGCCAGACCAAGGGCAGTTATAAAATTACAAATGAAATTGATAAAGTTGTTTAATTAACCTTAAAAAAGTTATTTATCTTGTAATAGTAATTTGATATGCATTAAAGACAAAGTAATCAGTTGTACAAATCACCTTTGTATCTAAAAGCAAGGTTTCAGAAAAATGACTGGTGTTCCACTTCAGGAAAAGCACTTTTTTATTCATGATATATCAAAGAAGTTTCTTATCTCGGGAAGTTGGTTTCCTACCTGCAAATAGACAATTCAGATTTTCCAAATGTGTGTGTGATTATAAGAAGAAAATGTTGGAATGCTCTGGGGGGGTAGGTAGCTTGAAGATACTTGGGTTCTTGATTTTTAACATGACATTTATAAGTATAACTGCATCAGGATCAAATAAAGAAAAAGACATTGAACACTTAAGATTAAGATGAAGTACAAATACAGTACAAATAGAAGATATTAAAAGCTTTAAATTTTTGAGTACTGTGAAAGGAGGGGTAAGCTTCAGCAGATAAGTTTTTCTCATGATTCTAATTAGAAAAGGAACCACTCTTGCAAGAACTGGGATTCAGTACCCCTAGGTAAATAATGCAGTCAGACTTTAAATTGTTGCTTCACTTTTGATCTTACAAATGTATTGTTTTGGTATGCTTGAAGTTTAGCAGTTCATGTAAAATGTCTTTGTTTTTCAGTATTGGAGGACTTTAATCATCGTGCAGGATTAGGTTCTACTGCTTCATCCTGTAGAAGGAGGACTGAGTGTGACCCAGACTTGATTAGCCTCACAACAGATGACCTATTGGCTTTTCCAGCAGATGGATCTCAGCCCTTTGTCCAGCGCCCTCCTTTTAAAACAAGGCATCAAAATAGTGAGTGCAGCAGGCGGTCGCTTAAAAAGTCTACTTTCTACCCTTACCAAACCTCATCACTTGATATTGAGAAGGATTTCTGTCTCCAAGAGAATGACAAATCTCTTGCTAATCAGAAGTTACACAAGAGCTTCTGCAAAAAGAAGCACAGCATATGTACGTCTCATAGGTACGGTTCTGTCTCTTGTAAAGGAAATCCAAGAGCCTTGTCTTTTGAAGAGAACTCTAATGCTTTTCCTGTTAAGAATTATCCAAGATGGCTTACTAGTGGGAAGCCTGACTTAAGCGTGTCAGGGATAAGTAGTATTCCAAATTTTGACTACCCAATCTGGCTTAACAGTCATAACCTTTTTTCTGATTCAGCTAATGAAGGTGATGGTCAAACTTTTAATATGCGACATGAAACTTCCTCTTCACAAACTTCCGAGATCCTGAAAAGGAGACACTCCATGGATAAAGACAATTCTAATTTTTTTTTTGAACACAATGATTGCCTGGATCTAATAGGTGATAACGAAATAGCAGAAAGTTGCAACTATGACAGTCCGGATTCATGCTTCCAATTCGGTAACTCCTTTTCAAGACACACCAAAGAGCCATTTAGAGGTAACTTTATTTCACAAAATTTGTTTTTGAATTTTTTAGGATGTGTATAAATAAATTAAAGAAGTGTTCATTTTTTAAATCGCAACACGAGCTATGTTAGTTGAACTGCACCGGATAGTAGATTTATTTACTCCCATCTTTGACAAATGATTAAAAGCGCTAACCAGTATTTGACCAAGTTAAACAGCTGCTATACTTCAGATTTTCATATATAAATTAATATTTAAGCATTCCTGTATCGCAAAGAATATTTGTTACAGTGTTATATTTAGCACCTTACTGCCCGATAATAACAGTAATTCCAAATATTTTAATAGAATTTCAAGCACTGAAGTAAATTATGTGAAGTGTAGACTTGAAAGAGAGAGATTCCTAAACACGATGTAAATGAATCTGCCAAATTGTTAAGAAGTATAATTTATCATGCAGTCTTTTCTCCTATTCTACACAGCAGGAAAAATTTGTAACCCGTAAATTTGGGTTATCTAATGCCCTCAATTTATATAAAGACTTTGTGTGAGACTCTCTCACGTAGCTGCTCTTTGTAGCAGGCGATTGCTTTTCAGCAGCGGGCGATTCTGCCATGTGGAAACACTGCCTTGTCTTTGTGTCGTGAAATATCGGTTAGATTTGCGTTAATATCGGCAATTAACAACTCTTAAGTATTAATTACCTTCACTTCTCTCTAGTTCTCCTCATTTAAAAATAAAAACATCTTTTCTTTGTTATGCAAACCATAACAATTGATCTCTCCCCTTTTCCCAGAAGTTATATATAAAAACTAAGTTAAACTATTATTTATGTTATGAATTCAAAGTTACAAAAAGCCTGATTTGCGAATATCTGTAAGCCCCTTACCTAGTGTGTAAGGGGCATGAGGAGCTGGTTTCAATATGTGGTTACGTCCTTTCTTTCACCCAGAAATTTTTATCAACTATGAATAGGATAGATATAAAAATAGATGAGAATGTGTCTGTCATTTTGAGTGCTTGTCTCAACCTATTTTTAAAGGTGAATTTTGTATGTGGTTATATGTATGATATGCATGTAGATGTTTGCATGATTTCTCTCCCAGGTATCTGTAAAAGCTCATATTAGAAAAACCTATATAAAATACCAGGAAAATTGACCAATAGATTTGCAGTCTTGATAGGCAACATTTCACTCTGTTTTGTGAAATAGTCTTAATTGTATTTTGTACAGCATGAAAGCACTAGAAAAAAATAAATAATTTTGAATGCTGTATGTGATATTTGTATTAAATAAGTTAGGAAAAGAAATGCTTGACTACTTTAGACACCCTTCTGTCAAGAACCTTTCAGATCCCACTTGGTACAGATGATTTACATGCCATACTGTCGTACTGAGATAAGCAAAGGGGCTGTATTGTGGCTACCGTATCTGTAAAATATGTGCAGTGCTTTGTAACTCATCTGTAGTAATTTTCTTTGAGCAGTCCGTACAATTGAAAGTAGTGTGGAAATAATGCCAGCTTGAAGGGGGTCAGATGCATCGTATCTTTATTTTTTAGAAGATCGGCTTGAGCTACTTACCTTGAAGACTGAGAAATCTCTGGAGACTTCAACTGAAGATTTGTCAAATTCTCTGAAAAATGATGACAGTCCTTCTACAACAGATATCCTAGAAGCAGAAAGATCATGGGAAAATATTCCAGTTGCTTTGTAAGTCAGCTTAGATTTTAAAATATTTTTTTCTTTTTTTTCACGTAGTTACTTTTGTATATGTAGACTGTAAGTAACAGAGCTGTGGTATATACATAAAAGGTTTATATTTAGATTTTTGTGAAGTACAAAACTTTTGCTATTTCAAGGTCAGGAGATTCATGCACTACTTTCCCCTTTTCACCATCTCGAGAAGAGTACTGTCAGTATTACTTACTGTTGCCTTTTAATAATGTTTCTTGTATGCTGTATCGTTAACATACAAAGATATTACTTCAAGAAAAAAATATTTAAGGGAACTTAAATTGTTAGCTTTAACATTTTATGGGTTTCCTGGCTAATAGTTGTGGGAAGTGTGCTTTAAAAAAGCAGTATGGCCTTGAGAAATTTTGGAGTGCTCCGGGGAGTGAAATTTCTATTGTTCAGGAAGTGGAAGGTATATGCTAGAAATCAATACTAGAAGTTTCTACAGCTTTAGTCGTTTTTAAGATGAAAGAAGCCATTTGTGGTTATTTGCATTGTCTATCTGCCAGTTTCCCTTTACCCAGAGGATTTTGAACCATTGGTTAATTTTGCTAATATTTAACAGATGAGTAAAAATGTCAAAATACAACATTCTTGCAGGATGTTTTTGTTTGTTTGACAATAGAAGAGGTACTATTAATGCTTCTCCTGAGAGAGAGGATGACAATCTAACCCCCTGCTAGCCACCAGAATATTCACCTAGGAGAGCACCTTTGGAAATCAGGCTTCATTAATTTCTGATTCCATGAAACTACTTGTTTTTGAGACTGTAGAAGGATTAAAGGTCAGCAAGGATAAGGAAACTGTTTTTCTTTGGATGTTGAATACTAATGCAGGAATAGCAGGTGTAAGAAAAACATCCATGTGTACTAAATTATGGCTAGGTTTTAAAGAAGCTCCAAAGCGTTAAATACGTCCTTATATCACCTTTTTTGTTCAGTTGCTTTGTTATGGCTACCAAGGTTTTGATTATACTGGCAAAACTGGGAAAAACAGTTATGTGGTTCTATTGCAAGCACCAAAGTGCTGACAGGACTACTCAGTGCCGCGCAGTGTTGCGTTGAGGCAGTATATCTGGTTCCATTGTAATGACTATATCCTAAAACAACTCTTACAATTTATAAACCTGTTCCCCATTGCATCCGTAACGTGTCTTTAGCAAATCACCAGTGCCTGTACGCTGTGAGGATGAGGAGAATACTCTACCATTCCCTAAGGCAAATATAGTTCATGAGTTCTTCGAAGACTGTATAAATGACACAAACAAGGTCAGTAAAACTGAGTATTTGTTTTTGAGAGTGCCCAAAACACATCAGACCAGTAAATAATAAAAGGGAGAACGCCTGTAAATTGGTTGTCATTCTTGCTGAAATGTATAAAACAGAAAGTCAAACTGCACTAATTTAGTCATATTTCAGCGTGCTGAATTCTTTCAATTATTCAACCCTATAATCTAATTCTAAAATTATGAATAAAAACCATCCAACTAGAAAATGCTTTGCTTAGTAGTGGTTTTACTCTTACACTCTATATTTTGTTTAAATAATAATTGTCTTGCCTCAAGTAAAGGAAGAAAGGCTTTTGTCATTAAATGTATTAAATGCTACTAAGTCCATAGCCTTATTGATGTCATGTAGATTATGCGTCAAGTTCAAGAGGTAAGTTATGTAATTTATTTCTTATTATTCCTGCTTTTGCCTTGGAACTGGATCATAGATTCAATTTACTGTCTTTAGATTATTCATTATTTCTAATCCCATTCTTTAATATTAATCACTTTCCTGGTACTTTTGATATTATTCACTTTTTCATTTTAATTATATGAACCCTTTCTATTTCTCTTATCCTGTTTTGAGACAGGGAGACAAACACTGAACCCAGTATTCTAGTTGAAAGGCATACTATTAATTTGGTGCGTTTCCTTTATTTTCTGCCCTATTGTACTTGAATCTCAACTGCTCTAATACTCTGTTTTCCCATCCTGTAGAAGGCATAGTATTCTTTTAGCTTTTCTGCTATTGCACATACTTCTGTTTCCCTAAGGAGTTAATTGACGCAGAACCTAACAATATGAATGAGACAAAATATTCTGTCTGATGAACGTTGCTTTACTGTATTTCATCCTTCATCTTTCCCATTCTTTTGGTTCTGCTATATCACTAGACATTTCTAAATATATGCAAGTATTTATGGATTATCCACGAGTTTTGTCACCTTGAATTCATTTGCTGTTTTTGATTATTCAATTAATAGCTATTATATAGTTGCTAATTATATGACTAAAACCTATGTGTATTATCATTAACGAAAGTTACTTGCTCTGTCAGTTACAAAATGTTAAAACATGTTCTACCAGTGTTCTCATAGCCTTACAAGGAATTGACACTGTCGGTCTTACTATTCTTGAATTATTTTACATAAACCAGGGCTGAGGGTTTTCTGTAATTCTTCAGATTTTCCTAAAAACATATGTATTCACAGTGACTTCACTGACCATACAGTGGCATAAACTAAGACAATCTAGTGTAGCATAGCAGCATGCATGTGCAATTTGTAAAGAGACCTTTAAAAAAAAGGTAGCAGAAAACCCTCATAGAAATTAGCCTTTAAATTGTTTCAGGGAAATCTCAGAGGCATTTTTCTTTGTGTGACAACTGTCAGTGCACTGCAAAATGAGCAAAATCTTTGGGTTTTGATCTAGGAAAATACCTTTTCTGGAGGTAATCATCATGGACCAACTGAAACTTTAAAGCTAATGTTGTTTAACCTTCAAGCAGTTCATGAAAGTTTAAACCAGAATAAAATTACTGAAGAAAAGGAAGAGTTTGAAAAAGTAAGTGGTCAGTTTCCTTATATTGTTTCTCGTCAATACTGATGTACCGTTTACCTTTCTGATAAATATTTTTAGTCTTTTTATGGACTAGGATTCCAGTCAGCTTACAAAGAATACTGCGACAGGATTGAACTCAGTTTGAATCAGGGACATACGCTCAAGATTGCCATGCCCTAAACCTAATACATCCGTTTTGTTGTTGTTGTTGTTGTTGTTGTTGCCGTTGTAAATGGGAGGCTCTGTGCTATGTTATGCTATAATCTGTCCCATTTCCCCTTGGCATTTTATGGCAGGTCAGTAACATTGGTAGATGGCCTCAGCTGTGCTGCAGCAAGTAGTATTTGTAATCCAGAAGATGGCGACATTACAAGCAATTCAGTCAGATGCTAGAAGACTGAATTGCAGTCTTCTGGATGAGTTGTCTTCTGATAATATCCCAACCCATCCTAGGTTTTAAGGGACATGTAGCAATTTTTAGAAAAAAAAGACATTCTCAGATGCATTATCCTTGCCTACTTCAGAATCAATGAGTTTGTATTTTGTGGTCCTTTAGTTTCAAAATGATTTCATTGACTTTATTATCTCTTTAAAAGTTTTTTGTAATGTTGCTTACAATGTGTTCCTAAATCATATGTACTTTGTAAAGCTTATACTAGGTAGTGAATGAAATGATCCACGTATATGGATCAAGTGGGCTGGAGGAATGGGCCAACAGAAACCTCATGAAATTCAACAAAAGCAAATGTAAGATCTTGCACCTGGGAGGAAAAAGCCCCTTGCAGTACAGACTGAGGACTGCCTGTCTAGGGAGCAGCTCTGTTGAAAAGTCCTTAGTAGTGTTAGTAGCTTCAAGCTGAACATGGAGCCAGCAGCGCACCCTGGCAGCAAAGGCCAGCAGCATCCTGGGCTGTATGAATACGAGTGCAGCCAGTACAGCAAAAGAAGTGATTGTCCCTCTGTATCCCCCAGCGCCCATTAGCCACGTCTAGGATATTGCATCAAGTTTTGGGACCCCCGCTTCAGGAGAGACATCAATAAAGTGGTGGAGGGCCACCAAGATGGTCAGGGGCTGCAGCACTTGCCTTGCAATGGGAAGCTGAGGGAACTGGGCTTGTTCAGCCAAGAAAAGAAAAGGTTTTGGGGGGAGCTAATAACAGCCTTCCAGTACCTGTGAGGAGCGTATCAAGAAGACGGAGCCAAGCTCCTCACAGTGGTGCATGGTAGAAGAATGAAAGACAACAGGCACAAATTGAAACAAGAGGTTCAGACCGGACATGGGCTGACAATTTTTTCCCTATGAGGACCGTCAGGCAGAGGAATAGAGTTGCTGAGCAGTCTCCATCCTTGGAGGTTTTCAAGACCTGATTGGATAAAGCCCTGAGCAACCTGATGTGACCGCAGAGCAGCCTCTGCTCAGAGCAGGAGACTCGAGCGGAGACCCAAACTGAATTACTTTATGATTGTAGAATATAGAGTTGTTCACAATCCAATGAAAAGTGCTATAAGAATTCCATGCTTACTATCATATTCAGTTAGCTTTCTTTTCCTCAATTAGCTTTTTTTTTTTTTCAAGCTTTCTGAAAAAGCAGATGCTGAATTAGAAGTGTGTGACAGTGAGATGATCCCTCTTACTAATTCTCTTCAGAAGTAAGTGACCGTTGGTGTTCTGACTTTCCACTCAGTTTCAGAAAGTTGTGCCTGGAGAAAGAAGGATAAATTAGCTGAGAGAGTGGTCATGTGATTTGAAAACTTTGTTGAATAAACCAGTAAGGAATAACTAAAAACATGGGAGTTCACAGAGCAGAAAAATATGTAATGAATCATTGCAGAGATTAACTCTGTTAATAAACCTTTGTATCTTCTGTATTGAAATAAAATCTGCACACCACAATAAATTGAGTATTGCTACACATAGCTGGACTTGAAAATAATCAAACTTGGAGAAGCTTGTAACATGGGACAAAATATTTTTTTACCTTTTTTTTTTACTGCTTCGAGAACAATAACTGATAGAAAACATAGTCCCTATATGAAATCAGCAGAGTCCTAGTGAACAATTGTAAGTGAATAAAGAAATAATAATTTTAAGAAGATGCCAAATGGAAAACAGATGTTGATTATATAGCATATTTACTTCAACAGATCTCAACTAGATCTCTAGTTCTAGACTGCAATATTAAAAAGAAGTTTTTTGAATTTTAAAAAATAAACTTTTAGTATTGATAAGCTGTTTTCTGACATATTTTGCAGCATTTAAAATGCTGTGTGAAATAACGCATTGCTGTAATAATTTTAACAGAAACTGCATGTTTGTGTGAGCACCTGCATTTGAGAAAACATATTTGAAATTTCAGTTTTGAAAAGGTTTTTTTGTTTTAATCTTAGTGTATTTTATAATCTCTAAGATAGAATGAACGCAACAGTTAGACTTGGAGATGAGAACTGTATCTAACACCATTCAAACTGTTAAACTGTTACTAAGAAATCAACATTTTCTTAATGTAAATAATTATGTGTACAGTGTTATGAAAGTATTTTTCCTAATCTAGGGCTTTACACCATTTGTCTCGTCTTAAAAGTCTTGTTGAAGATAACAGTAACAAGCAAGAGCAAGCTGATGATCACCAAGAAGATAAACAAGAAGAAAGCAAGAGTAATCCGTGCAGCTGATATCTAGAAATCTTTCAATACTGTGTAATTGAAATAATGTGATGTCCTGTCCTTTAGTCAGAATGTTTTTTGGAAGCTGTACCAGCACATGTTCTCAGAAAGTGTTGCTCAGTATTTCTATACATATTCATTATTTGCATGCATTACTTCAAAACTTAATTATTCGTGGTTCCAGTAGGGTCTAACAACATATGACGAGAGAGATCTTTTTAAAGAATATTTAATTAATGTGAACGCTTTCGTGGAAGAAGCTATGTCTTTATAAGAATAAAAACTCTAAATATTAAATTACTTGGTCAGTTTTAGTCACCGCTTAACTGCACAGATCATGAGAAATGGGGAGCTGATTATCATGTGTAAAGTTAAACAGGAAGTTAGCAGTTATTATGCAAGATGTTCAGTGCTCTTCTTTCTAACAGGGCTTGAGTTGGTGTAATTGTGTGCTCCTTGTTCTGCCAACTACACACTTGTCAAATATATTGTATCCAAAAGCGTCTGAAGTCTTTTTCATTGCCCCCCTTTCGCATCCTAGTGAGGCCTGGTTCTTTGGGCGGAGGAGGTACTCATTTGGAAGCATCCTATTCAGGAGCAAAGAACAAGTTACAGCTGAACTGATCTTCCAGTGGATTGCTACTGTTCGTGGCAAGTCCTAATCTCCCTTCTGTTTTCCTTGGCCTTGTTCTTGGCTTTGGAGCTCCCCAAATCTTTCACTGGGCCTAAACAGGTAGAAAAGTATTTTTAGCTGCGTAGCTGAATAGAATCAGCTCACCAAAGCCACCAGTAAGCACTGGAACTTGTGCAGGAGAGAGGGGAATAGGACTTAGCCCTTCTTGGAAGTAGCAAATTGAAAGAGAAGGAGAAAAGCTGTAAGTGGTAGAGTTGTGGCTTGAAATGTATTGACAGAACGTTTTGAAAGAAGCCTTTTGTACCTCTTCTCTGGCTTACGTCTAGCATTTTATGTTCTCAGTAAACAAAATCTGCATGGCAAAATGCTTTTCTAGTAAAATATTTATTTTTAATCTGGCTATATACAGGTATACATGAGAAAAGATGTAACTGAGCGTGTGCTGGTTTTGATGAATGAAAATCAAACCGAAAGAAAAAGTGGAAGGAAGATTAGCTGTGCATTCCTCCCACCTTCCTGTTAAGAATTAGTAAGTAGAGACCAGTAGTAATAATGACTGTTCTGTGACTACTGTCTCAGGATCATGAGTTCTACAAATTTATGTATTTCAGACACACAGATTTCATCAGTCTGTTTCCAAAACAGTGAGAGCTACATCTGAAATCAAGAGTACAGAAAATGAAATTACTCTTCTAGAGCACTTTTTTGCAGAAACTTTTATAAAGCATCACACTGCTGGGACAAGAATAGACAAACCAACTGATACTGCTGTGTAACTGTTAACTGCATAACCGTTGTCTGTATTAAAAGAGAGGTCATTTTAGGGAAGGAACTCAAAGGCGGAAGGAAAGATAACAATTTTTTTCGTGACATCATGCATATCTCAGCATAGATCACAGTGAATTTGCTGTACTTTTGCGCTAGCCTGAATGCTGTGTGTATGCGGTTACGCAAGGCATGTGTATGCTGCGTAGCTTGAGCTAAGACACTGCAGACTGTCAGCGCAGCTTACTAGTGTGGCACTGCCTGAGCTATCAGCTCTGCTGTTTCTGAGCTGGAGCAGGTTTGTGCCTATCCAGCTCACAGTAAAAACATACATTTATTCATGCAAATGTGCAGATGCTCCTTGGGGGGCTGGTAGCACAGGAGAGGTGTGCTCAAAGCAAGACTTGATGCCCTAAGAGTACTTAGATGTTTTAACACACAGAGTCTCTGTATCCTGCTTGCAGGGTTATATAGGACAAGATACACGAGACATCCCCGACTTTTCCCTTGATGTTGAGGCAGAGCTCTAGTTTGCTGTTTGAAAAACCTTTTTCCATTAATTCCCCTTTGGAGAGTCTTCACACCTGGCCATTGCTGTGCAGTGCCTCGTTTTCTGGGCATTTTAGTAGCCCAAGAGTCATTTATTCTCTCTCCTGTGCCTCTAGATACCTCTTTTTTATCTGTTTCTATTTAGTGACACAGCTTTCAGTCCCTAATTCAGTTGACTTTGGTGGGGTGTTTCAGCAGAACTTTTTCTCAGTTTTTATGGCAGACAGACCTAAGTAACAACACCAAAGAACTGCTGCTAAGTTGACATTGTTGAATGCTAGTATTTATTAGCTTTGGATTGGTAAGGTATGAAAGGCCTCGGTTATGGACAGGACGCATAGTGTGAGGTAGGATAGTGCACAAGATAAAAGTACCTTAAGTATGTGTAACTAAGCATCAAACAAGTGACGCTTGCTAGTTATAAATTATAGAAATACAAAAAAAAAAAAGAATAAAATAAAATATAATACTAATAAAGCAGCACTAGTCAGTAAGTAGAGACAACTTGTTTCACATATAAAGTTATTTTAACACGCTACCAAGATTTTTATGGCTATTAAACAGTATTTTAAAGAACAATTTGATCCTTTACATATCAAAATAAAAAAGTAACTTTCTGAATGTGTACACTAAGTGCTTCTTGCAATTCTAGCTAGAATTTGGTTTGCTTAGAAGTTAGAATAAAGAAGCTGCCACTCAGGAAAAAAAAGTGAGTATGTAAATAAAGTGCTGAACAGAGGTAATAGGCATTTTCAAGATGATGCCACTGATGTTCTTAGTGTTGAGGCTATGTCAGAGGACAGGAATTTTATTGAACTATAATCTTCTGTGGTGACAGTGGGGGAAAAAAATGACAGGCAGAAAGATAAAGACAAGGATTTGGAGGAAATACTAAATAAAGGATCTGGGCTAGTTTAAAGGAAGGTCATTGTTTCTCAGCAAGTTGCCAGAACTATTTGTTGAGGATATACATGAATATTTGTGATTGTGTGTATTTGCATATACAGGAAATGTTTTACGAGGAGAGCACTTCCTGAATTACAGTGTATATATATATCAGTAAATCTGACCTGAGAGATGTAAAGGCTTTGATGAGGAAAGCATCTTGCAGTTAGATCTTGTGAAGATCCTACCTGTGGTAAGAAAATGACTTGGCATAGTGGGACATGGTGGGAGGAGAATAGACAGGATTTTTGTCTGTTTTAGGGATTTTTGCCCTTCAAATGCTTAATGGGAGAGTCCACTGTAATACTAGTTTTGAAATGGAATGACTGTACTCTGCAGTAATCTTTTCCACTGTAACAGTCCATCTGCAAATCTTTCTGCATCAGCGTATTCACACTGATACAAAAGAGGGCTGATATAGACAAACTGGCAGTTTCAGACTCCAAATAAGATGAAAGCTGGCTGTGCTTACAGTACAGATTAATGTGGTTAGAGTTCATAGCCCTTTTAATCTGAAAAACTACAAACCCTATGGTCACTCATTATCAACCTGAGAATTTTTTTCCTATGTAACTATGTAACTCTGGCAGTGTCAGAGAAGCTTTATTATCCAAAAGATGCTTGTGGAGTCTCAGATATGTGTAACTATCTGGAGTGTGAAACTATTGAAAATCATGATGGATATTTTCTTTCTTGTTCATCATGGATTCTATGTTAGTTTTTTACCATAATTTTCCATTACTGTGCGTTACCCAAAATATTTGGCCGACATGATCGTTGGAAGGTCTCACACTGTGGAAGGGGAAATGGGAAATTTCACAGGGAAATGAGAAAAACTTGTCATTGATTCTAATTGACCTGATGCTGCCAATGTGAATGGCTGAGATTTTCAAAGCGCTACCAGAACGGAACAGAGAAGACTGCTGAGGAGAGAAGAGCTCTATCTCATGGGGAAAAAAATATATAGATATTTTTTAATTTAGGCTTACCAACTTAGGAGAGGAAGTCTTTAAACTAGGATTTGTGAGAACTGATGACAAAAGAATGTGAGTGAGTTTTAACAGTGGAAGGTAGTCAGAGGCACAGTAGCTGTGGAGATGGGGATTTTTATAAAAAGCCTGAAGCAGTACAAAAATTCAGGATAGTGAATGTGTCTGCTTAACATTTAAGATGTCTGTATACTAATGCAGGATGTATGAAAACTAAATGGAAGAATGTACAAGTTTCCATATAAAGTTGTGTTTTATGCAACATAAATATTAACTCGGTGGGATATTTAATTTGTTAATGAGAAAGAGAAGATTTCTCTGTAAATGTTTATCTCTGTTGAGATAATCTCTACTGAAGTCTAGAATATAGGGGTAGATGACCTATTGAAAGTGTCTTGATCATAGTAAAGGGGGAAAAAAAACTGAGTGGTGTTATGCTGAGAACCTATCATTAAAGATCACCGAACCAAGAAGATAAGACAGACATAACTTTTTTGTGAACAACTAACAATCATTTGACTCGATGAGATATTATTTAACCAAATATTTGTCAGAAGAAGGGTAAATAGACCACAGAGTATCCAGGCTATTTTTAGAATGTGATGATGCCAGTTTTTGTTGCAGAAGGCGAAGATAAATACAAGAATTTTCTTACAGAAATTTCCTAATTTTTAAAATGGAAAAGAGGAAGAATAGGGAAAAGAGCACCTTAAAGAAATTAAGAGATCTGATTTGCAAAATCCAGTGAGAAACAGTCTAAGGAAAAAAGGCGCTCAGGAGTTTGGCAGTTCCTAAAATATGTATGTGATAAGATATATTTACAGGCTATACTGATATGGAACAAGGAAAAGAAATAAGTTTGGCTTGCACCCTTGAAAATTCTCCAAGAAGGAAAAATAAAGGAAATAGCTGGAATTGCTCCTAAACGTGAGTCACCATGGACTTTTGTGCTTTTCGGAAAGTCCAAAGCACAAAAGTGAGACACAAGTAGGAAGAGCTGTCAAAGATAATACAGTAACTCAGAAGTTCCTTATTGCTTACAGTACTAAGTAACTATTTACTATATGTACATAAGTAACATAGCTGTAAGTAAGCCCTTATAGCTATAAGGAAGGACGAAGGAAAATCTTGGTCCATTACTCCTCTCCAGAGAGTAATAAATGATGTCAATAAAGGCATACCATTTATTTAAAACGTCAACTGCAATCAAACAGCTAACAACATCATTGAGAAGGGTGGTAGATAAAGCTCAGATTACGACAGCGAAAACATGATTGAGAGGTCTTGCACAAGTTACCTGTGTTCAGCGGATCATGCCTACCGGAATTAACACTGAGCTTTTGGAGACCTGGCTGAAGCTCTCTTAAAGTTGTTAGCAGTAATGTTTAAGAATTTATTGTAGTTGCACAGGAGTCCAGAAGGCTACAAAAGTACAAATGCAGTGCCCGTTTTTAACAAAAAGTCAACTAAATGATGCCAAAGATTTATAGGCCAATAAGCTTAACTTCACTTTCCTAAAAATTCAGAAGTACATAATGAAACCTGGAAGATATGGAAATAAGAAAAAAGAAAGCCCACAGATTGTAATGAACACTGTGTATCAAACCAATCTAGTTTCCTTTTTATGACAGGGTAACAGACGATGAGGACAGGGGAGAAGAAGTGTCATGTATCTTGACTTTAGCAAAGCTTTTGACGCTCTTTGTGTGCCTCCAAACAAGGAATCGTAGTCTAAATTAAAATACATAAGTAAGCATGATTGGAAAGCCATACTTTGAGAACAGTTAACACTGAAGCCTATTGCTATTCATTATTTTCACTAATTTGATGGTTTTAGAGAAGGTCCAGAGGAGAGTGAGTGAGATGATCGAGGTGATCAAAGAGCTGCATAGCAGGGAGAGACTAAAAAGGCTGGAACTCTTCAGCTTGGAGAGGAGAACATGTGTTTGATGTTGCTCGAAGCCCACAGTGCAGAAGCTAGGGAGGACTTAATGAACCTGACAAGAGGTTTGTTTAGGATGGAGAAAGGAATGTTCTTTTTTTTAACCAGGAAGCAGTAAATTTCTGAGGTTAGGGGAATCAGCAGGTTCAGAAAGGACTTGGAAAAAGTTGGGGCCTTTTTTTATGGAATGAAATCTAAAGGGCTATTCCCTTTAGCACCCCTCATCCAACAGTTATGTGTGTTTGTAAAGTATGAAAAGAGTAGCTTGGAAGTAGTAGCCAGCCTATGCTGTCCCGCTTAATATCCTTTTGGAGAAAAATTACTGGGCTGGTTGTATTGTTGGTCTGACCTAGTAGGGCATTTTTCTATGTAATTAGTTCCACTGTGGGACAGACAAAATGTAATAGAGTTTAGTTGCAGCAAGAGTGATTTAGGCTTGTGAAAACGTTTTTAACAATAATAATTTGTAAGTGGTGAAACAGGTTGCCAAATAAGTTGTGGAATCTCAATGTTTTTTGTGGTGTGTAAAAGCACATTACACAACATCCAGAAGGAATAATTTAAATATGTTTGGACCCTTAGTATAGGTGAAGAGACTAGATGACCTCTGAGGATTCCTTTCTGCCTTTTTAAAAAGTATTTAATGGTTCAGCCTCTATCTCATTGCCATGTTGTGTCTTAGGGTTCGTGAATAACGTTAAAGCTGAATGTGGAAATTGTCGGGCCTTGCCCTTGTAGTTCAGTGAAGAAGAGGTTTTTTTATTGCAACACGTTGCCATACTAAGTTTCACTACTGTTACTACACAAAAGATGATGAGTCATTTCCCTATGCTCTGTCTGTAACATAACTGAGAACATATTGGAATTAACATTCTTTCGGATCACTGTTTTTCTTGTCTTTTGTGGGCTAATCTTTTTCAGCTTCACTAAATGGATAACCAGGCATTTGAAATGCACGGAGAGAGCATACCAAGTTCTTCAAAAACAACAGAATGGCCAAAGAAAGAGGTACGAGTCAATTTCAGTTATGATGCTATCAAAATATTATTAATAGAGAGTCAGTTAGAAGATTAAACCCTTGCTTAGTAAATATGATACAATCAGTTACTATTAGGAAGGTCCTACAAGAAAATAAAAGCTCTACAGGGTTGCTATTGCTATGGTCCTGAAATGGAGTGTCCTAGCTCCACGTGCGCTCACTAGGATCTGGACTGTGAGGTATGATTCTCCAGCCCCATTTTAGTTAATAGCAAAACTCCTATAACTACTGAATAGTTATCTCTGGAGGATTCCCCATTGATTTTAATGGGAACTGCTACTTAAAAGCTGATCTCATGGTAATGCTTAACGTCTCTACTTAGTTATGTATTTGTGTACTGCTTCCTTAAAAAAATTTTTTTGCCTTTGAGAAAAGTCATTCTCTATAATTTTCCCATTAAACTTTTGCTTCTTGGGGTTTGAATTAACTCCATACAATGAGGGCTGGTATATCACTCATAAGCTGTTACATTTGATTGCAGTCAGCAGTGATGCTTCCAGGCTGTAAATACACCTAGGCTAGGGATTCCTTCACAGCATAACTTGTTCCACACATTGCATTGAGGTAGAATGTTCTATATTAGTTATTATTATGTAATATGTACAGCAGTCTTTCTATTTTTAAGAATAATTATTGAATTGGTGCCACTGCTGTGAAAATGCTGTAAATTAAAGGTCATCCGAGTCTGAAAAGTGGGAATTTTGTATGCATTTGGGTCTGAAGCCTTGTTCTCTGGAACTGATGAGACTCTGTGTGGTTTGAGTGCTACTGTTATGATATTTAATTGAGCACAAGCTTTAGAAAAGGAATAATTTAAACTGTTAAAAGGATTATTACAGAATAGAATAGGGTGATATTTGGACCACTTTTCTGCTGGCAAGGGAAATTTATTTGTAGAAGAGATTTTGTCAAATAGATTCATGAAAGAAGGTCATTTTGTTAAAATTGGTAGGTAATTTTCAATTTTTTCCTTTCTGATTGTAGAGCTTAAGAAATGAGTATACATAGCTTGATTTTCAGGCACTTGTCATCTGAAAATCAGGCTTTTAAAGAAAGATCAAGCTGTGCACCTAGAATCGCTAGAGTTTTAAAATGTGGGCCATAGAATGCGGTTTTTATTCATCTGAAGCTGCAATTTGTAAGAAAAAAGATTAAGGGACAGGAAACTGAAAATCCTCACCAAAATGTTGCTTTGTAGTGCCAGAACACTGTCTACAATTGCAGGGTAGATTAAGAGCATTTTTAGTGCCTTGGCCATCTACAAAGAACTTCTGTCCTTATGTATGCCAAGGTGCTTCTCCCCTTCATCCTTCTCCAGAGGCCTGAATGTCCTCAGAGGAAAATTAGAGTAAAGAAATGATGCATAGAGCAGTTTAATACAGGTGAGATTTCCTCTTCCTGCCCCATCTTCTCCTCACCAGGGAGCTGGGCCACTGAGAGCCTTCTGTGAGATGTGAGGTAAAGCAGACAGCATTTTCCTCCTCACCCCACAGGGAGACGTTTACCGTGGGTTGATGCGGCAGGTCTTTGGAGTTTTGAGATACAGATTAGAAACAGTAATGAAAAAACGTTAAGTGTTTGGAAGACCAGAGGATGAGGAAGATGTGCTTTTACTTGGCGGAATAATGAAGGGACAGCAACCATCTGATGTGATTCGATAACATACTTTGTAAACAGTTTCCCTATGCTGAGCTCAGTAAGTTGGCTCAGAGTGTGTGTTCCTTTCTGAAAGGCTTACTGTTTTCATTACAAAGGAACTGCTATGGTTTGTCCTGTTTGTTATAGCTGTTACTGATTTTTTTTTTTTCTAAAAAAGATATTTCAGGAAAGAAAGAGCTACTGCTCCCTAATGAAAATATTTCTAGTTTGTCTGTTGGCCTGTGTTATCACCACCACAATAGGAGTGCTGGCCCTGTCTTTCATCTATGCAGAAAACATTGGCTTTCTAAAACAGACAGATGTTAAAAACTCGGACACAACCCCCCCGAAAGCAGATGAAAAAGGAGTGGATATCAAATTCCGGTTCCTGAATCAGCTGGGAAAATCCAAGGTAAATTGTTCTTTTTGTGCAATGATATTCTAGCATTATATATAGAAATATAATGAATTCATCTCACCTACCTTTAATTATTTAAGCACTAGGTGTCCAGTTTAAGCCTGTCATCCAGGCTTCTTTTATAATCAATGAAGAGAGATACAAATCTCCAGACCGCAGTTCATTCCATTTCATAACAGATGTTGGAGGTGATACAGGACCACGGAGATTCCTCTGAGATAGCTAAACAGTTGCTCCAACAAATTCAGCTTGCAAGATAAGGCAACCATTTTATGCGTGATTCTGAAATTACAGGGTAGGAAATTCTGAGAAACATAAACAGAAAGCTCAAATCTAAATATAAGCTCAGTAACCCACTAACATTTTCCTTCTTATGACTGAATTCAAACAAACGCTTATTTTGCAAGAAGAAATTAACTCCATGGTCTTTTTTTCAGTGAGCTAAAGTGAATTAACTCACAATGTAATGAACCCTACCAATTACATTGTTTCTGTTCAGTTGTATTTTCATACTTAGAGAAATGTATCCTTTGAACAAACTCTAAAGACATATTCCATCTTACAAATTTATCTTTACATAGAAAATGTTTTCTGATTAATTCTTATTGCAGCTTTTCAGCGAAAAAAGAGAAAAGGATAGATTAGATAGTAGAACGCTTCAACTAATTACAACTCTTATACTACTTTTAGATGTTAGATTTAAGTATGTAATACTCGTGAAACAAAGGTGTTTTTTAAGAGGAGAGCATCCCTTTTAATATGCTATTCCTGAGCGCAAGGTGATTTTTTCAAGTATAAAACATATTCTAGAGACAGTACAAATATTGGGGAAGGAACAGCTTCAGATACAAATAATTTGCCACTGTTTCTAGAGCCTTAATTCAGGAAAATGTCTTACTCAGGAAATTTTCTAAATGTTTTGAATCCAAAAATATAAGCATAAATATAACTGATTGCCTAAATCGGACTCCAGAATGACGTAAAAAGAGGAGCAGATAATTCCATCCTTAATACCGCTATTTAGCTCTCATTTGTAGAAACAATACCATTACATCATAACAGGAGACAGTAATTGTGAAATGTGACTAAAATACATGCAGAGAGAATTGTCACTGTGAAAAACAACGGGTCCCTTCAGTATTGCCCAGACTATGCATCTTCCAAAGTATTTTTGGATTGTTTGGTCACCGCTGTCCACAATTAATAAAATTCTCTTTTGTCACTAACTTTACAGGTACATCGTTTCCCAGGTGGTGATATTCAGTGGGCAAGATTCAGGAATGATGTAAATGAATATCAAAGCGTTCAAGAAATGGAATTTGGAAAAAGTATCAATAACTTTCGCTCTAAAATGACTTTTGGAACCTTACGAATCAAGAGCGAAGGGCTTCGAGTTCCCCACTGGCATTTTAATGCTAATGAACATGGCTACCTGTTAAAGGTATTATCTGGTTATTTCAGCTCTCCCAATTGGATTTGCTGTTTAAAGCATCATGTATATATAGAAAATGTAAATATGTAAACAAAAATGTGTATATACATTATATACAAAAGTTAACTAGTGATAAAAGTAGAATTATCATTGATTCATGTATGACATGAGTTTCGTCACTTCAGATAACATTCTTGAACTGAGGTGCTTAAAACAGTCTATTTAATGTTGTTACTTGCAGAAGTGCCAAGCACTTGTAGCTTCCAATAAAGTGTAACAACTGAAGTCAGTGGAGATATGGATGCCTGCAACATGTAGAATTTTATCTATTTATCCAAGAGCTTACAATGATTTAGGTAGTTAATATTGTAGAATCATCACAGAATCATAGATTTGAAGGACTGTTAAGGTTATTAAGAAAGCCTCTGGCTTCATCCTGTATATTGGTGCAGGATGAGAAATACCTAAGCATTTCTGAGAGCGCATTGAATCTGTTTTTAAAACCTTCCATGAAGGACCTATTACAAGGTCCGAAAATAGTTGTCTCCAGTGCTTTATAACACAAACCATTGGAAAGTTTGTGCTGCTGTACAACTCACGTTGTTGTTTATTGCAAAATATCTCCTTGTTTATCTCCAGTGGCTGTGGAGACCCTCTGATCATCTTTGTTTCTTACAACAACTGTTTATATGTGGAAGACTATTTTGTTCCCATGTAATCTTCTCTTTTCTAGACCAAATATCCCTCCCCTTTTTTCCCAAAAAACTCTCCTTTGAAAATGTTTGTCCTATCTCACCTTAGAGACAATTTTCAATTCTTTAAAAATAAATAAAGAAAATAAAAAAGATAAATACAAACTCACAGTGAGGAAAAATTTGAGCTGGCATGTTAATCTGAAAAAAAAGATCTTTCTGTGTAAGCGCAGGTACTTAGATATATCTTGATTTTTGATATCTTGTATTTCTAAGAATACTTATTCATATTTTTATTAGAGTATAGCTGAACAGCTCCAACTGGATGGGGGGACATCCCTGGAGTGAGGCATTCCATAGACACCTAGCCCTCTCTCCAACTATTTTTGGTTAAAGATGGCTTCTTTATGGCTATTGACAGCCTCTTTAATAAGAAGTGGCTTAAATATGAGTAGTGTGTATTTGTCACACGTTCTCTAAACCTTCTCAAATTTCGTCAGTCAAAATACTACTCTGGATTCAGTTTCACAAAGGCTTGTTAGAGAGAGAACACTGGTATTGGTTTTCCCCTAACAGCCTTCAGATTCCTTGCATTACTGATTTGTCATACACAGGTTACAGTAAATAAAGTCTCTGAGGAAACTTTCATTGCTATCGCTATGTTACAGGGTACTGCCTGGATTGGAGTAATTGATGCAGATGACAGCGTGGTTACCACATACAATGTCACAGCTGGCCAAGTGATCTTCTTCCCTAGAAACACTTTGCATTGGATAAAGAATGTAGGAAAAGAAGAGTGTATGTTCTTGCTGTTTTTTACAACACATGAAGAACTTAAGACCTTGGATGTAGATGATGCATTTTTCTCTACCCCAGAAGATATAGCAGCGAGAGCATTAAAGGTCTGTACAGTAGGATAGCTAGCCTCTATCTAGTCTTCTTGACATTACTATGTCAGGTCCAAGCTCTCTGTATCTTTTCTAGGGAGGTTCCCTAGCTCAGCTGCTCTCTTCAGTCCTACCAGCGTGGAAGGATGTGCAAGTGTCCCTTGTGCAACACTGTGCCACCTTGTGTGTTCTTTTACAAACACAGAGGAATAAATGACACAGTTTTCTCCAAGAAACTTTTTCTCCTCCCTTTTCACGCTTGTCCCAAACTCATGGAGGAGTCTCCACACTTCCAAGGACAGAAGGGAAAATAACAAAGCGAAGTCCAAAGTACCTTCCCGGTAGCCTCTTAGTAAATTTTGTGCTATCAAGAGGCCTCATGGGAAACCATAGATAAGGCCATCTTCTTGCTGAAATGTCTCTCATTTGCACCCACCAGTTGCCAAGGTCCTTTGACCAAGAATATGGCCACAGAGCTTCTGCTCAGTCTGAGCTGTCCTAACTGAGAAGCAAGAGTAGAGCAAAGGAGCAAAATGAAGTATTCATAGGGGTAGGCAGTTAAAAAGATGAGGTATGTCCCCAGGGCAGGATTTGTCTATCACCATGTATTAAGGTGGGATACTTGATGAAGTACAGTTTTGATTCCCCGGTTTGCTTTGTATATCTGTCAACTTAATATGTACTATGTGTCCTGCAGCCACAGGGTGGAGTTAACTTTATCAGAACATTCAAGAAACAAACAGAAGATCAAGCCATTAACCTCCCACCAAACTTAAAAGAGCTCGTACAGAATGCCAGCTATGTGCAATCTCCAGATAGCCTTGTATGGCGGTACTTCTACGACCTCAAAGGTATACATCTAAGCACTTTGTATGTAACAGGTTTTGGTGTTTACAGAGAGGAAGATCTGTAATTGGTTCACTGAAACATGCAATAAAAAGTATATAGAAGAGTGAAAAGAATTTAAGGAAGTAAAAAGAAGAAGAATGGAAATCTGTACAGACTGGACCTGCTGATTAACAGGGAGCCCCGAAAAAAACATGACAGATGACAGAATTTAATTCTAAGTACCACCGTAAAAAACAAATACAGGTCCAGAGCTCCACATACAGCTGATGGAAGTTAGAAGAAATAGATATGTGACAGAAATCTTTACACTTGGGTCAACATGTTCTTTGACCTAATCCTCTTTAACAGACAGCTAAGAAGTGGCCAGACTCTATGAAAGCCTCTTTATCTGGCCAGGACCTATATGCTTTCAGCAAGGAAGGCACAGCCCATGGGTGGACTTATTAGCTGTATTCTGCTTGAAGATCTAGCTATGCCAAGACAGTGCTTCAAGAGACAAATAGGCCAGGTTTGCAGCTTGTTTGCATTGGTGGTGCCTTGCAAACTATTGGAACACACCATTAGTGCCATAAAGGTTAACATGAGTGAATATGCTGAAACTTAGTGTGTTCTCTAAGTGTATTGTGACTGATAGTAATCATGTTTGTGACAGGAGAAAATGCTGTGTAAAGGCAGATATCTGCTCACGCAAGAGATAAGTAATTTAAATTCAGGAAAAAATTCTAATATGTGATTTTTGTTATGGTGATCTGTCTGTGCAAACATACAGTAAACTGGATTAATTGTTCCTAGTGTGCATAGCATCTAGTGCACAAAGGAATAGTAAGCTAAGTGAGCTTCCCTTTGGGATCCAGAGTCTCATAAGATTTGCAGCCTGAAGTTTAGTACACAGTGATGATCTGAGGCTGGCCAATACACTAACAAGCAATGTTAACCAAACGTTGTTGAAAATGCTCATTTGTATGTCTCTCTGTTTTTTAGGGTCAGCAGAATACCCTTTTCCGGGAGGAATCTTCCAGTGGGCTCGCTACCGCATAAATGGAACTGGACTGAACAAGACAGAGAAAATTTTTAGTGAGTCACTGAATAAGGTATGTGCTTTCGGTTGGATACTGTAGCTATTTTAACATAAGGCATAGTATGCAATGTGTGGGGGTTTGTTACTGCTTTGTTGTGTTTCAGGGATATAACAAACTTGAGGGACTTTCTGAACATTTTTGTTTTGCTTTTCAGCATGAAAATACCCTTACCTTAGCAACTCTCAGAATATTCAGCAATGGACTGGGGCAGCCTCATTTCCACTTCAATGCTAATGAGATGGGTTACGTCATTAGTGGCTGTGGAAAGGTAATTTGTTACATCAGTGAGGGATAACTCACTGGAGTTTTGACTGTATAACAGTTACAGAGTTAATAACGGATTCCCATCCCTGATTATTAATAATATTACAAAACTTTCAAGGTCTACTCAGTCCTTCTTCATACAAAATTTTTCTTTCCATTACATTTGTGGAAGTTTATCTAATCAAAATGGAGTTATAAAAAGAGCAGAATGGGCCTTAGCAAGCTGTTCAGCAAAAAATGCCCATGATAGGAATTCCCTCTCTCCTGGATACTGGGAGTATGAAATAAAAAACAGAAGAAATTATGATTTAGTGCCTCTAAGGAACAAATAAAAACTTAGTGAGAATTAAGAATTAGAATATGATATTTTATTATGTGTCTTTCACTCAGTGCAAATTTGAAATGAAAAGGTAGCTGAGATGGGATGATGGAACTTCATAATGCAAGGAGTTACCATGTTCTTACTTAGGAATTTGCCTTGGACCCCTATAACCTTTCGGGATCTCTGTGAAAATAATGACTCTGCACTAGCTGATTTCAGTGCAATGTTGGGACTGTCGCTGAGTATTTATCCAATAATAGCACACTGACTATTGCTATTGAATATTGCTATTTAACTTGCTATAGGTTGGGGTTATTGCATCTGATGTCACAGCCAACTTCAACATTGACATTGGAGATGTCATATTTTTCCCTGTTGGAAGCCAACATTATATCAAGAGCGTATGTGATGAGGATTTATTTTTGATTCTAGCCTACAGTACAGGCAACCAGGTGAGAATCCGTATGGACGGGGAGTAAAAAATGTTCAACTGTGCACAAGCCTATGCTTTTTTTATGGATGTAAGCCTTATACTTTGGTGCACACCTCTCAAAAGAAATTCTAAGACTATCTGAAGTGCACTGACAGTGAAAATTCTCTTCTGGGGTGCATGTCGACGAGTAACACCTACTAAAACTGTACTTGCGAACAGGAGGTGGGGAAGACAAGGGAAAAGTCTGTGGTAGGGAACGGTGTGCTTCTGCGTGTGTGCTTGTAGTTATTTGTGTGGAAGAGGGAGAGGGATGGAATTCAGATCATGCTTGTGCGTGATGTGCTATTGGTGTTTAAGAGACAGAGCTTGTCAGGGGGTGGACTGGACAGGCCGTGGCTCCTCACAAGCCCAGGGACCGCAAAAGGGGAGAGGTCTTCACAAGCCTCGAACAGGTCTACATGCTAGCAGCCAGAGCAAGGATATATTAAGCTGAGACTGTATGTACCTGGTGATATGTACCTGGCTTATAATGAGTTACTTATATATTTTTATATTCATTCATATTCATGTTGTATTTGATATGCACTTCAATATTCCATATTATTAATCTTGTAAAAAAAAAAAAAACAAGTCATTGTGATTATTCTTAGAATATTGTGTTTTTCTTTATAGCTGGAAACTCTTCGTATGAATGACTACTTCCATGCAACAGCAGATCATATCCTTGCTCAGCTTTTTTTCAAGGAACAGAATGAGTTTAAAAAGATCCTACAGCCTTCTAAATAACTGGGCAAATAACCTATCTTAGCGTTTAATCACTCCAAGTATTTTTCAAAATTGCCGTATTTCTAGCAGTACTTCTTGGTACCTTTCCTGCTATTTATCCAGAGATGTTCAGAAAACAGAAGAATTTCGGGTCATTACTTTTTATAAAAAGGTTTTTCTATTTGTATTTTTAACTTGTTTTATTTATAGTGCAATGTAATTTTATTGTATATAAAAGTAACTTCTACCACTGCAATTGCCTTTTGCTCTGTATATTATCCATTATCCCACTTTATCTCTTCCCTCACAGTACTGAAGTTTACATTGGTTTTCTGTATTGTTGACAGCACTCTATCTAGTGGTGTATATGCATAAATACAGCGTGTTTACATCACTCCGTCTCTCGCCTGAAGCCAGGTGTTGTTATAAGCACTGCATCTAATTTGGGTTGCAGGAATGAGCTCTTCATACATTCATGTTGTATTCACTTTCCCTCCCCAAACTGCAACCCCTTCAGTGAGGCACTGTATAAGAATTTAAGACAAGTAGCTTCTTATTATGATTTTGCCACTAAACTGCCATCTGATTTTGAGCAAAATATTTGAGGCCAGATTCATAACAGAATGTAGACTCAGTAGCAGCTACGCTGTGTGCTGCGTGCCGATGCTCCCTCTGCAAAAGATGGGGAGCGTTTGGCCCCAAAGAATTGGGCTAGAAAGAAGCAAAGATAATTTGACAGACTGACATCTATGCCATTTTTTTGTGACCTTCAAGTTCCATTTCACTAGGTAATTATACCCAAGAGAATGGCTACAGCAGGGAGGCACAGAGATATTTTTCCATTTTCCGTGGATTAAGGCGTTTTTTCAGGGAAATGATCTCTGTCTCGGGAAAAACCTACTCGGGTCACATGGTTTAATTAAATCAGGGTCAAAGTGGTTTACTGATTTATTATCAACACAGAAGAAACCAGGATTCAGTGAAATATGCAGTCGGGATCAATTTCATCAGTACCACAGATAAACCACAATCCTAGCCACTTACAAAATGTTTGTGAACACCTACAAACTTCTGAACACTCCTCTGTAACTAATCCCAGGAAGTTTTATTCATGCGCATCCACAGACGCAGTTGCTGTACACCCTCTGTCTGTCCTGGGCAGTGTGGGTCACAAGCAGCCCCCCTCCTGGGACAGGGGGTTCCCCTGTGTACACACACCACCAGTTGTAGGTCCTACAGCTTTGTGTGTACCCACGCAAACACCCTTTCAGACAGTTTTGGGTATTCCCCTTGCAGACAGCGTTACACTCCCGTTCCTGTCCCATCACCTGGGGTTGTCCAGGCCACTTTGCCAAGAGGAAGGGCTGCGTGGGCCCCCCCACAAACCTCTTTCCCAGTTACAATGCAAAGGGGACATCTCTGTATCCCAGCTGAGTGTGTTGACAGTATAATAAGCTCTGCCTCCTCCTTGCCAAAATTTTGTGAAACCCAACTGAGGGTTTATTCCCTGGACTGGACCACGCGGACAAGAGAGGAGAGGGAACGCCCAAACTATGGATCCTGATGGGGTAAAGCACAGAGCTGTTCACTGCCTTCAAGAAAAGATGGTTGCATGCATACCCAGGAGTAGAAATTTCGGCATCATGTAATTAACCTACCGCTCAGTGGTGGTTTTAACAATTGAGGGTTTTGAAGGGAAAAAGCAATAGTTAAATGTCTGAAATGGAAGTTAGACATAAACATCCCGTTACAGGCCTAACCCAGAATTCAGCTGCAATTTCTAGGCCTAGAAACTGCAGAATTGGACCTAGAAGTCAGGGGTCCCGCAAGCAGCAGTTCTCCTGTGCCACATCCCTGCCAGTCACCACAGCCTGGCCAAGCCCTGACACCAGCCCCGGAGGGCAGTGTACCAGGGCTGGACTTCACTCCGCAAGCACCATGTTTTGTACCACAGCCCCTGCCAGGAGGGGAGGTCCTGGCTGGTGATTAGAGCATTAAGTGCTTCAAGGTGTTAGCAAGGTAATAGGCTCTGTTCATCAGGAAAATTTTATTCAGGTGCTGGTAATTGGCCCAGGGCTCTGATTTGAAACAGTTCACCCTAAAAAGGAGGGATTTGAGCCTGGGTGCTTGTTTCTTAGCTGAGACCCTTCTCAGGAGATCCAGCTGTACTCCCCAGGCAGAGGGGCTGCTCTTCCAGGTAGGAGAGAAAATGCAGCTTATTAAGGAACAGTGATGTGTTTTTGTTGTATGGTTTTGTTCTACTGTTGTTCTTTCCTTGTGTGGAGAATAACAGATTGAAAAGAAGAAAAGGATCTCTTCCTGTAGTAGCTGTGGTGTTTGTTGTCTTCTGTCCACCTGTGTGCTATGGTCCCAAGGCAGCATGTTTAGAGACCCCTTACAGGTACTCACCAGCTCATCTTGGTGCTTGTTTCAGTCCATGCTCCCAGTTGGGTGCTCCTAGGGCCTGGTTTGACCTGTGGGTTGCTATAGGAGAAGCTTGTCTTGGCCTTCTGCTGTGCCTCGTTTTTACCTGCTGCTTTTTAATACATGTTTTATTTGACTTTAAGCTGCTCTTTAAAACACACTTTCAGAGATTTGGGCTCTCTACTCATTTGGATGCTGTTATTGCTGGTGTAGAGCAGGACTGTGACTACCAGTAAGAGACAGCAATTATGTTACTTTTGAAAAAGCTATAGATGTTGAAAGCCCTTATCTTCTAATTTGGCTTTGCAAGCTGATCTTTATGAATCTGCAAATACTGAGAAGTGTGAAATTGGTGTGTGTGTGCTACAGAAGCCAACTGGTGGAAATGTTTATGTAGAACCCTATCAACTTATTTAACCCTGTTAATGGCCTTGCTAAGACTTGCAAGCAGTGGCGTTCAGGGGTCAGCACTTCTGTGGGTATGTTTCTGGAGCCCTGTGGGAAATTTGGCCCTATCAGTCTATTCTCACTGGGCTATAAAAGTCATGCTCTGTCTCTTCTGCTTTACAGCAGCCAGGCTCAGGGTGCTGCTCTCTGGAGAAGCTCCTGGAGCGACTGTGCAGGGAAACACATTGCTGTCGTTTATCATGCCATAATGAAATGATCATTGCCTTGTGCGCTCAAATCAGTTGGTTTAATAGCCTGTGAAACGCATTTTCCAGAAGTGATTACTACCCAGTCAGCTGCTGTAACCATACCCTTGTGTTTTGTAAGCAGGCTGGCATTTATGAACGGTGGGTGTTTTGTTTTGTTTAGGCTTTTTTTAACTAAACAATTAGCATGTTCTTAGACTTATTTTTGATTTTGGTTAAAGTTTTGGTCTATTAATTGCAGACCAGTTTTCCAGTTCAGTGAAGTGCTTGTCACTTAACTGTAAGCAGGTGTACTGGTGGGTTAACTTTGTCTGTTTTATAGATGTGCTGATTTTAATGCTTCTTTGATGCCCATGAGTAACGATGACCCAGCTGTTCTTCCAATAGGTTCTTTAGCTGCCTTTGATCGTTATTCAGTGTACTGGTCCCTACCAGAACAGGGATGTTTGTGTGTAAGAGTCACTCTTTGACTGGAGTTAAGGCCCAAAGTAAAAGCTCTTTTCTGTGTGACTCCAGTCAACCATTTGATGGCTGCAATTAGTCTTTGTGTTGTCATTGATTGGGATTTAATATCCAGCTGTGTTTCTTGTCCTGCCTCTTGGAATCGGAACCCAAACAAATGGCCAGATCGCCTGTGTCGGGTCTCTGTTTTTGTGTAAGTTGCCCAAATCGGTGAATGTTCATTAACTTTGGTGAGCCAAGAGCCTTACCTAAAGACCTGACAAAGACAACAAAAAAGGATCTGGAGGCTTTCTACTTCAGCCCTGCATCTAGAGCTTGAAGCTGCTGCCTGCACAATATTCGAAATGCCAAGTGCAAGGTGAGCTGCGACTTCCTGCGAGGAAGCAGCGCAGTGAGCTGTGGAGGTACGTGCATGCTGTTACGGGGGAGCTCTGTCGGACACAACATACCACCCTTGCTGTGTCCTGTACTGTGTTGACCAGCTGTCTGCACTATAATTTTGGAGTATTATTCCAGGTCATTAATATCACTGTTCTGCAAATGCAGTTTGCCCAGTAAAACTGATATATTCAATGAGTGGTGAAATATGCTGTCCTCTTTTGTTTTCCCTTGATTATAAATTAATTAGAGGATGGACCAAAGCAGTTTTAATCTTTCCTAATGCTGCCAGTCTGGGATGACAGACTAAGATGTAGTGTGGTCTTGTTGCTACATGTGAGAGACTCATCTCAAGACTCTCTTAATCCTCAACCCTCTATTTCCTTGGAGGAACTATCAGTCAGGTATTGTGCAAAAAGCTTTTCCAGCCATGGTGATGACAAGCTCTTTTAGCTGATGTGGAAGAGATGGACTCGAAACGCATCTAACCATCTGTGGTGAGTTTGGTCAAAGCAGATCAGACCAAACTTCTCAGCTCCGCTCCACGAGGATGGAAAGGTTGAGTGCTGTTGGAGTCACTGCTGTTCGCAAGACTGTTTCTAATACAGATAGCTTCTCACATTGATTCAGTTCTGCTTTCCTGTTTCTTTTATCTCTAAAACCATCATTTTTATGTTCTTAATAAGGTGACACGGAAAGGCCTTGTGATTGTGTGTGTGGTGTAAGGTGGTTTTTTCTTCTGTGTGTGTATTCTTGCTCAGCTGGCAGAACCATCCATTTTAATTCTAATTCCAGCTAATAAAAATATAGTATTATCTAACTCCTGTTTGAGACTTGGGATCTCAAGCTGACTATGTGTGATGCACATCCATCCTAAATGTCCCTGACTTTGCAAGTTCAAAACATAGGGAAAACTCTCAATTGACATGTGAATGGAAACTTGAACTGTCACTTTCTCCAAATACAACTATACTGAGGAAGTGTGACTCACTTGAACCTGGAGGTGTTATTCAACGCAACGATAAGCCCATCCCTGGGGGTTCTCTTGGAAATAACTGGGGTAAAACAAAACAGAACAAGCCTTAGTTAAAGAATAAAGCTGTGTTGCCCCTTGTGAGAAATATGAATTATGGCAGATAATATGCCTATATAGCTTCCAAGTGAAGAAATATTAAATGGAAGAGACCTCAGCATGTTTGGGT